TTTTTTCCATTTTATACCGGTTCCTTATACAGCATAGATGTGTAAATGTCATTAAAATACATTCAGTTAAATAAACTTTAGCATTTATTTGGTTGCTCAAGCGTAAAACGAGACAAAAAGCTGTTTCACTCGCACGCGCCCGTCAGAATCGGCAGGCTAACGCAGAAGCTCTATTGAATATACTGGGGTAAAATAAATGCTCATATAATAAAGATATGGCGGGGGAAATGTAATTTAATGCAGTGCTTCTTGTACAATCTGAGACCCACTTTAAATCGGATATCACTCAGCTAGTGGAGATCGCTGATTTTTAAAGAAAACAGAGCTTAAACGCACAGGATTTTGCATTGCCATTCAATTCCCCGGAAGCGCTTAACCCAGGTTACTGGCAAATTAATAGTCCTATTAGCATGCTTCGGCATATACCCCATTCCTCCAGATTCCTTGAATCTTTTAATGATGTTCTGCACTGTTATAGGTGAAATATCCAAATGTCTTCCTCTCTTTCTTTGTTTTTAAACATTTCCATCATGTTCTCTTGTATTTGTTGGCAAATTGGCGATCCTCTGCCCATCTTTGCTCCTAAAGGTCTAGACCTTTCTTGGATGCTGCTTTTGTGTCAAATCATAATTGCAATCACCTGTTGACATCACCTGCTTCACATCACATCATTATTTCACCAGTTTACCTGATCACTGCCCTAAACTGCTCCTGCCGCAACTGTTTTGAAATAAGTTACAGGTCTGAATGACATGAGAAGATGTAGATTTACAAAAGAAAGTTGACCAGACTAAACATGAAATATTTTGTGTTTATTGTTACGTTTCACGTATGTTTTGTAGTATTTTTGTTGTTTTCTGCTTTGCGCTCTTCTCTCTCTCTCTCTCTCTTGTTGTGGTCCTATCCTGTTTCAGATGTGCTACCATTGGTCGGGTGAGCTGTCATTCACCTTCGTCACTAAATCGGCGCGCCAATAAGGATTGGGTCCGCGCAGTATAAAACCGGTGCGCTTGCGCTGTTCTGGAGGAGCGCTTGGCCTGCCAATCTCCTCACTTGTGTCGGCCGGACTGTTTGTTTGTTTGATCCGCTTGATTCATTTGCGAGTGCTATTTTCTAGTTTTCTCCCTGTTTATCTTGATTTATCAGTTAATATTGTGCTGTTCTTGTTAATGTATAGTGAGATTTTGAACGATCTTTATGAGAATTGGATTACCTGAGATCTTGTTTTGCTAATGGCTAACAGTGTGTACTTTACGAGAATTCTAGCATTTCGAGCAGCTTAGTATTATTGTGTATTAGTTCGTTTTTGGAGGCGTTGCCACATGTGTACTTATGTTTGGGAGTTAAGAAGTTTAGTTAAGCTACGTGCTGAAGATTACGGTTTTGTTTCTGCATTTTTCTTTGTTCAGCCAGTTTAGTGGGTTGGGGTTTAGTTAGTTCGTTTTGTTATATTTATTTCTTTGTTTTGGCAACACTCCTATTTTTCTTTATTTAATTAAATTATTTAAAATTACATTTATCTTCCATCTTACATTCATTGTTTGACATTATCCATTAATAAATACTTACTTTTTGTTTCACTTATCAAGCGTATGCGTCTTCTCCTCATTCACCCAGCATCAATAGACTCACTGATTGTTACGTTTCATCCCTTTAATTATTTAACATCATAAACACAAAACATTATATTTCTGCAATGAATATACAAGTCAAAGTATATTTAGAAATCACTACTTTCTTGTAGTTTTAAACAAAATTAATAATTTGCATTTTTGTATATTAGCATACTATACGTACACACTAGAAGTACAAAATAAGTAGCAAAAAAAAATCTATATTTAGACAAATTAGCAGTGAAAAATTCGAGCTTAAATTAAAGCGTTTGTGTGTGTGTGTGTGTTTGTGTGTGTTTTCACCTCGGCCAACAGCAGACCCTGCGGCTCCAGCTCCAGCTGAACTCTGTGTCTCTGATTGTCCAGAAAATCCTCCAGTTTCAGATACTTCAGCGCACAGAGCGAGCGATAATCCCTCCAGTACAGCGCTATCTCCATCTCTCTAGACTGCAGAACACCTGAACATCAGTCTGTGTGTGTGTGTGTGTGTGTGTACGTGTTTTTGTGACATGTCAGGACACAAATCTGTATAATGACATGGGTATGACACAAGTGTTACACAAAAAGGAGGTGAAATATGGGGACATTGGTGACGTCCGCATTTCTCAAAATGCTTATAAATCCCACAGGATGAGTTTAATCAGAGAGTAAAGCTATACACTGACTCCTGTGATGGTTGGGTTTAGGGTAGGGTGAGGGCAATATAATATACGGTTTGAGCTGTCTAAAATGAATGGAAGTCTATGTAATGTGCACACTTTTCACACAAACTTGTGTGTGTGTGTGTGTGTGTGTGTGTGTGTGTGTGTGTGTGTGTGTGTGTGTGTGTGTGTGTGTGTGTGTGTGTGTGTGTGTGTAACCCACTGGTTTTTCTGCACCCAACTTACTGCACCAGCACCCAACTTCGCTAGCTGACCTTACAGTTACACTCACCCCCCAAAACCTCACTCCGATACCGGACAAGCCCCCACGTGTAACCAACCAGTCCTACTGCACCCATCCCGTTCTGTTGCTCTGACAAGGAGGCTAAAGAC